GAAGTTGTAGGGTATTATAAGAATCACATATAAAAATTCATAAAAAAGTGTTGCCACCTGTGACAAAAAAACTAACTGTAACAACTTACCCCGTGTAACAACTTGCCCCGGTCTCTCCTATCTGATTACAAATCAAAATGTTATATATAAAATTCCGAATATATTAGGCAAACTCCGGCAAATATGCCGCATTGAGATTTACGCCGCAGAAGAAAAATATTTCGAATTTCTAATATTTTTTTTATAGTAGTAGACAGTATAAAGTTTTTACTGATACAGTTCGTTTATTTTAAACATAGTAAATAATACTTAATAAATTAAGTTTTTGATAGGTGCGGCGTATATACCGGAGTTACCCTATAGATGTTTAAAAAAATGAACATTATGTAAGTAATTGTATCAGTAACGTAAAATTCTTTATTATATACAAAAAGAACAATTTTGTGGAAATATAAAAATTTAGCTATAATACATATAGATACAAATTTAAAAATAATTTTCTTTAATAAACCATCAAAATAATTATAATATATAAAACGAGGGGGTAACTAGATAAAATATTGTTTCATAGATTACACGATTTCATCTGATTTTATACTGTTTCATCTAATTACAAATAATTCTCTTCACTACATATGAAGTTATATGAAAATAAACGATTTTATCTAATATTACACTATGATTTCTCGTGATTGCGTATGTAATTATCGGATTATACATGGGGATTTTATATAAATTTTATAATGGTTTTTCGGGGATACTGTCCCCCACTATTACATTAAATGATTATCCCCTCAATATAGAAAGCTCAAACTAGTTTCTACAACGACATGTTTTGCAGCATTGCTATCAACATTCTACATAATTATTATGTCCAACAAAATTATTTTCAAATCTGTATACATATATGTATATATGTAAATATATACGTATATATGTATATATATGTATATATATACATATACATATATGTATTGGGAGTACAAATTAGTTCGGTCCGTTTTCTAAAAAATGGCTCCGGCTGTTGTGAATGGTTCATAGTGACAGCTGATTTTGGCGGTTTCAGAGAGGTTAGACATCTGCTAATAATATTCTGTTTATATCGCTTTGAGTTTCATACAAAAACCTTGATTTTTACTGTGTTTGAAATGTCGAATTTTGTGTTAACCAAGCAACATTTGCGGGAGGTTTTAATTTTCTGCTTTAATTGGAAGAAAAGTGCAGCTGAAGCCCATCGAATGCTTGTCGAAGTTTATGGTGACACTGCTCCAACTGATAAATTATGTAGGGAATGATTTCGACGTTTCAAGGATGGAGATTTCAGCATTGAAGACAAGCATCGCTCTGGACAGCCAAAAAAATTCGAAGACAAAGAATTAGAAGCATTACTCGAAGAAGATCAGAGTCAATCGCAAGAGGAGCTTGCAGAATCATTGGGAGTAACTCAATAAGCCGTTTCTGTACGATTGAGAGCCATGGGAATGATCCAAAAACAAAGAAATTGAGTGCCTTATGAACTGAAACCGAGAGACATTGAAAGGCGATTTTTCACTTGCGAGCAGCTGATTCAAAAGCAACAAAGAAAAGGTTTTTTGCATCGAATTATGACTGGAGATGAGAAGTGGATATTCTACGACAACCCCAAGAAGAACAAATACTACGCTAAGTCCGGTCAATCGTTGCCATCGACCTCAACATCAACACCAAAGCCGAACATTCATGGTTCGAAGATCATGCTCTGTATCAGGTGAGATCAAAAGGGTATTGTTTACTATGAGCTGCTGAAACCTGGCGATTCCATTACGGGCGATCGGTATCGGCTACAACTGATTTGTTTGAGCCGTGCATTGCGAGAAAAACGGCCGGAATACGAACAAAGACATGATAAAGTTATTTTTCTTCATGACAACGCTCGGCCTCATGTCGCAAAAGTCGTAAAAAAATATTTGGAAACGATCAAATGGGATGTTTTACCGCACCCGCCGTATTCTCCGGACATTGCTCCTTCTGATTACTGGTTGTTCCGAAGGATGCAGCACGATTTGGCAAGTCACCGGTTCACTTCTTTCGCAGAAATCGAAAATTGGCTCCAAAATTGGATCGCCTCCAAAGACGAGTCATTTTTTCGAGAAGGAATTCGAAAATTGCCTGAGAGATGGGAAAAAGTAGTAGCCAGCGATGGACAATACTTTAATTAATCTGTTTATTCATTTTGTTTTGAAATAAATGCATTTTTGAACACAAAAAAACGGACCGAACTAATTTATACTCCCAATATATATATGTATACATATACATATATGTATATATATGTATAAATATGTATATATATGTATATACATGTATATATACGAGTATATGTATAGGGTGAAGTTGGCTAATTGTAAGTCATATCGACGGTTAAATCGTACCTTCATTATATTTTCTAAACGAAACATTCTTTTTTAAAGGTGATGACATATATGATGGTAATAACATGGCTTAAGAACTGTCATTTTTGTTTTGTCTTTGAGCCGTCTGTTTACCAGTGACATTCAAAAGTGATTTTGTTCGGTGTCTGATCTAAGTTTTTGTACAATTTAGCTAAAGTGTTATCAATACAAGGTGAGTAATTGATATTACTCACCTTGTACTGAAGTACTACAGGGTTGTAATTGATATTTAAACTCTTTTTGAGAGTATAGCATCAAATTAGCAAAATATTTGTAAGTTATGTTGCTATTAGCAAATTTGTATAAATAGAAAGAGTTGATTAAATCGTACTTGACACTGGTCTTTATATTGTACCGATATGATTTTCGCAAGCGAACTCCTATAATCTACTCGCGACTTATACACATTGTTAAGTTAAATTTGATTAGCATCGGACGCGAAGAATTATTAGAAGACCTATAACGCAAAAACTCTGAAGAATATAAGGACTCCAGAGAATAAGGTTTTAATATACTGCTTTGGTAGTAATTATCCGATTTCGATGAAATTAGACCCATTCGATGCGTTTTTATACAAAATGAAAAAACCTGGCCGAAAAAATACGGGACTGCACTACGAAGCGAGATATTAAGCGTTAAAGTTGACTACTGTTGAGGTTAGGCCCTTGTAGAAAAGTACTACTGAGCACTAGGAGTATTTTGAGACACTACTGTACTACAGCACTACTACACTAGTAGTAGTGCAGAAGTGTTCAGTAATGCTGAGTAGTGCTAAGATCTTCTATATATCTGCGTTTCGGCAAGATACAAAATGCAGGAAATGAGTACGCATAACAGAAACTAATTATTAATAATTCTATTTTAAAAAAAGCACTTTCGGAGACTCTACGACCACATTCTGATCAAGCTGAGAGTAAGTAATGGATTTCATTTACATATGTCTGTTTATAGGGAGAAAATGACGCGGATCCGTATAAATAGGCATATGTAAATGAAATCCATCACTTACTCTCAGCTTAATCAGAGTGTACCCGTAGAGTCTCTGAAAGTGCTTTTTTTTAAATAGAATTATTAATAATTAGTTTCTCTGATGCATACTCATTTCTTGCATTGTATATCTTGCCGAAACGCGGATATATAGAAAATCTTAGCACTACTCAGCATTACTGAACACTTCTGCACTACTACAGTAGTGTAGTAGTACAGTAGTGCTGTAGTACAGTAGTGCCTCAAAATACTCCTAGTGCTCAGTAGTACTTTTCTACAAGAAAGGGGGAGGGGGGAGGGAAATCTGTCATACCAACTTAATGCAGTGCTATGTACACGTATTTTAGTCGGTGTTTATTTAGAACTATTACCTCATTTTCAATTTTAATGAAATTAGGTGAATTTATTCAACGCATTTTCACTTAAAAAACTAAAGGCTGCTCTGTTCTTGCTATGCGCGAATATTATACTCAGTTTAAAATTAAAAATAAATGTATTAATAAATGAGTTTTTAAATTAATTTTTGTTTATCTTTCCAGTGAACAAGCTGACGTTATCTACCGTTGTTTTGACGTTAAAAATGTTATTTTGATGTCAAAATGACAATAAATAATGTCAGTTTGTTTGCTAGATTAAAAGTACTATTTAGGATCCCAGTGGTACAATTTAACGACTCGGTCTCCAAATCATACCGAAAGCTACGTTTTTTAAAAATCTAATTTAAACAATAATTTAATGTTTATTTTAGTAGAAGTATAGTTTTGTTTTATTTCCAATGAACCAAAGTTTAATGCGAGTACAGAAATATCTGGAGACACTGGTAGTGTCTCGGCGCTAAGCCAAAGCGAAGCGACACTGCCGTGGCCTCCTTTACGCGTTCTGATCTCTTCAGTGCTTTTGTTATAATTTTGTTTAAACGTTAAGAGGTACGATATAAGCGACTTTCCCCTATACACACATATAGTTAAATTTTTAAATACTTCAACAAACTTATTTCCGTGTAACTTAATTTTACAATACATTTTACTGATATACTTTGATGATGTTTTGTGACAAATCAGTACTAGAAATAATAAAAAAGATAAATGTCAGAAAATTAAATATCAAAAACATATAAAATATCAAAAAAATTCAATGGTATAAGAAATATTGAAAATGGCGCTAAGATAAATACACTATATTTTCATGTTTTTTTTTAGACTTAATACTAATTGTATATTTTTAACTGCTTTAAAACTTTTTAAGCCGGATATTTTTACGCAACATATTGTATGTTTCTTCGATTCATTTTCTTATGTTTTTAGAATATATATTTATTTATAGCCATCTTGTTTTGTGACTGTATCATCTGCTTAGGGGATGGCAAAAAATAAATTTAGAAAGCACGTGCCGTATCCACGGTCCGCAAGCGCCAACGACTACACCGCCGCCGCCGTCGCAACTTCTCGCGACAGGGGAGAGCGTCAATCGAATTTGTAGCACACTTAAGAGTTGGCATCAGTGCCCAGAAATACATAGAGCCATAGAAGGCATCCGCTATATCGCCGATCATGTAAAGAAAGAAGAGGATTCTAATAGAGTAATTATAATTTTACGTAACTTAGATAACAACCTGTGTAGAAAATTGTTAGGGCTTACAAAAGGGCCTTATAAGTATACCCTAAAATTTATCGGGGCCTATTAGGGCAGATTACTTGGGCCCTACATGGCATGTAACAAATTGTTTACCAGGCCCCTATAAGGAAAAATTATCGAGGCCCTATAAGAAAAAATTATCAAGGCTTTTATAAGGAAAAATTATCAGAGCCTTGTAAGAAAAAATTATCAGGGCCTTGTAAGGAAAAATTATCAGGGCCTTGTAAGGAAAAATTATCGGGGCCCTATAAGGAAAAATTATCAGGACCTTATGAGGAAATATTACGGGAATTAATTTTGTGTTAATTTAAAACGGTCACCCATCCGAATGCGAACCACCATTCCCGTTACTTGACCTCTGTAATCGTACGAAAAATTGGTACTTCGATGATCCACGAATGTTAATGAACGTATAGTTGTGATATATCTGTCGATATAATCCTGATAGAAATTTGTGCAATTTAACTGAACATCCAGTCAGTATTTTTTTGTATGTGCCCATACGCACTTTTAGGAGATGAAATACCCTTTAGAAAAAAATTTGGTTTTTCTCTTTTAGAAAATTTTTTTCTATCTCTTACAGTTCCCCGACGGTATTCGCTTCGAAAGAGAAAAATTAATTTTTTTCCAAGGAGTGTTTTATTCTTTAAAATTGCGTATAGGCACATATAAAAAAATACGTGTCGCTTATTTTTGTCCGGAGAATAATATACTAATGTGGCATCCCTAATAAATCCTTTCCAGACACCTATAAGTTAGCCTTAATAAATAAGTTCTTATAAAGTTGATATGTCCCTATCAAATCCCAATAAGGGCCTCATCAAATATAAATAAGAAAGTTTTACTTATGGCATCCCTAAAAAATCCTTTCCAGGCACCTATAAGTTAGCCCTAATAAACAAGTACTTATAAAATTAATACATCCCTATCAAATCCCCATAAGAGCCTCATCAGATATAAATAAGGAAGCCTTACTTACGGAATCCCTAATAAATCCTTTCCAGGCCCTTATAAGTTAGCCCTAATAAATAAGTATTTATAAAATTAATACATCCCTATCAAATCCCGATAAGGGATTCATCAGATATAAATAAGGAAGCCTTATTTATGGCATTCCTACCAAATCTCGATAAGGGCCTCATCAGAAATATGTTACATAGTGAAATCCCTAACAAATTTCTACATGGGAATGCAGTATAATGTATTTTAACATATATAACATAACACAATTTAAAAGAAATCTTTATAAAATATTTATTTAATATATAGAATATTTAAAAAATTAGATTGTTTAAAAAATCCCGAAATTAAGAAATTTTCTAGAAATTTTCTCTTTGTGAGGTTTATATTTATTTTTTAGGTTTATGTTAGATATTATTTAATAAATATTTTTAATACAATTTGAGTTTCGAATTATATAATAAAATATTTGAATAGCTGCCTTTTTTATATCATATGAAAAAAAACGTACGTTTTTAAATAAAAATATTACGTACAAGTAAAAATATTACATAAAAATATTACGTACCAGTTTAAGTCTAACGTAATTATTTTTAGATCTATACCTGACCTAATTTAATAAATTTATGTATTTCAGCAAAATGTATTTTGATTTTATGACGAAAATTATGTAATATTTTTATTTTAAAATACATTTCAGAATAGGAAAAAATTCAATACAGTATGTATTTCCTTTATATATTCATAAATTCATTGTTTCGTACAGCTTTAGAAAACATACATGAAACAAACGGTTTTGCTGAAATACATAAATTTATTAAATTAGGCCAGATATAGATCTAAAAATAATTATGTTAGACTTATAAACTGGTTGCCAAAATGTCAAAATGTTTTTACAACATTATCATTATGCTTGAGTATCATAATTATTTTTAGATATTTATTTGGCGCTTAATTTTGATATACTTAAGCAAAACATTTTTTTTCGTGTATGAAATACTTTAAATTCTTGATTGTCACCTATGAATTCAACCGTAGATCAAGGAGGATTGGAAGTATGTCGCAATGGTGATCGACAGATTATTTCTATGGATCTTCCTGGCAGCCGTAATCGTCGGCTCGGCCGGGATTATACTACAGGCGCCGTCCTTGTACGACACACGCGTCCCCATTGACGTACAGCTCTCCGAAATCTCCCCGGACGCTGCCAGACCACCGCCCAACTTTCTTCCGAGAGGTGTCCTCTAAGGGACAATTACTAATTGCATTAATGCCGCGCGTAAAACACGTATACAAAACTGAAAACACACATATTGTAATTTGTGTACGTGTTTTATGCGCAGCATTAATATGACAACATCTGCTTATATAACTACATCGACACAAGCGAAACGTATTAACGTCCGAAAGCCGAAGACCTAGCGAGTAATTTTGTCAGGGTCGATTTTCGCATTACCACCGAAGACGTCGGTGGTAATGCGAAAATCGACCCTGACGAAAATAAAAATCCGCATTTTCGCCAGAGGATGAATGCATGTCGTTCGACTTTACAACCG